TTCTCCCTAGCCTCAGAAACACTGTTCCTGACAGTTTCTCCCCAGCCCAAGGACCCTGTGCCTAGCAATTACTCATGAGTGGGCCCCAGCAAGACCCTTATCTCTCTCCCTGGTGCAGTTCCAAACAGCACCTGAAGGACTTATTACCTTAAACTGGCTTTGCACTGGGTCCTAAAGACATTCTTACCCACTACTATACTATCCTACCACCCCCTACCACATTATCTACATCCTGGGCTCCTCATTAACTGCATTCTATTTATTTTTATTTAAAATTTTTTTTTTTAGTTTTTAGGCAATTGGGGTTAAGTGACTTGCCCAGGGTCACACAGCTAGTAAGTGTCAAGTGTTTGGTCTGAGGCCGGATTTGAACTCAGGTCCTCCTGACTTCAGGGCCGGTGCTCTATCCACTGCGCCACCTAGCTGCCCCTTTAACTGTATTCTAGGCTTAAGACATATGTGTACTCTCTACATCTATCTTGTCAAACAAGACACTGATTGGTGGCAGACTGGACAACTCTCAGTTACCCTGAACTCCAGTTGACTTAGTGAAGTAGCAGGCCTAAAACCACACCTCCATGTGGCCCCCCTTTTGGGCTTTTCCTAATGAACTCTGGGTAAAACACCTGCAAAGTAGGTACAAGAAGTGCATGTTCTTTTAAGAACTGACTACTCCTTAACCACTCCCTAATCCCACTTTGAATCCCCTAGTTAGCATATTTGGCACATGTTTTTTGTATTTTATCATATATAAACTTTAACTGTACCTCTCTAAGTTTGCAGGAATCCTTAAGAGTCTTTTCCCACTGAAAAGTGTAACAATAAACTTTGCCACCTCGACTTAAAGAATGCTTGAGTCTGTGAATTCATTCCAGACGACCCATCCTGTAATTCAGTCTTTGAGGGGTCACAACCTCTCAACCTCTCAGACCGCAACATCCCCATCTCTTACTTCATATATTTATTCTCAGTCCCAAGTCCCATTCTTTCAACTCTAGCCTATACTAAGGGTGTTAATGAAGTTGCTGAGACTTAGTTTAGCAGGAGCCAAAGAGGACAAACAGACCAGAGGAAGGGGTTGCTCAGGGTTATGATGTTACAGGGAGATGAAGTGGGGGGAAGAGGAACATGGGGACAAACTGCTCAGAGACAGCAGCAGCAAAGGAGGAGGCCCAGAAACCAAGCAGAGTTGGGAGGCCAAGAGTCTATGGCTGACTGCTTTCCTACAAGCCAAAGGCAGAGAGAGGCTTCCTAACTTCTCCCCCTTGCATTAGGGAAAAAGCAGTCTCTTTCTGTCCCAAAGCACAAAGGAGAACCTACAGTCATTCCTAGGTCCACAAATAAAACACCTATCTTCCTAACAATTTCTCCAAATTCTTATCCCTAGTTAGAGGGCAATTCCAACTAAGGCATCCCTTATAAGAACTTTCCTTGTATCCTTCTTTGGTTTTTACTGTCCTGATAATCCCTATCCCAATGGTGGCATTAACCTACAATCCTAGTTTTGGTTCCTCCTCCGGAGCTACTGAGTGTTGCTTGAGGCAGCAATGAAAGCAAGCGGACCGGTCTGCTAAAGAGTAGACCCTCAAATAGGCACTCACTGATAAACAATAAGGCCACATAGAGAAAAGCACACTGGATTGGGTATGTGAGAATCTAAGGTCAAATCCTGGGTCTGCTGTTTACTGGGTTTGGTTTGGTTTTGGTCTTTCTTTATATTCCTGCACTTAGCACAATGCCTGACACTAGTAAGGACCGAATAATTGCTTGTTGCCTGATTATATGACTTTGGACAATTCAGTCAACCTCTGTGGGATTTCATTAGTTCCTGGGGGTACCATAATTTGTTTGTTTTTTATAAACTTCTTTTAAAAATATTTTCATAACTGTATTTCAATATAATTGGTTTCCTTTGTAATTTGTGTATTTTATTTTATGCCTTTAAAAACATTCTGACAAGGGGTCCATAGGCTTTACTAGGCCATCAAAGGGGTCCATGATACTTACAAAGTTAAAAACCTTTGGACTAGACAATATTAAAGGTTCTCTGACATTGGTGTCTTTGATATCTGACCAAGCTCTAAGCATTCATAACTAACATATTAGATGAACAGATCTTGACATGCTACAGCATTGTAAAAGTCTTACACTTGGGCTAAAACCTCAATTTCTCTAGTATAAGATGGCTAGACAGTAATTCTTCTTTTTCTTTTTTTTTTGGGGGGAGGCAATCAGGGGTAAGTGACTTGCCCAGAGTCACACAGCTAGTAAGTGTCAAGTGTCTGAGGCCGAATTTGAACTCAGGTCCTCCTGACTCCAAGGCCAGAGCTCTATCTACTGTGCCACCTAGCTGCCCCTGACAGTAATTCTTCTGAAAAATATCTGGGGGCTTTAGTGAAATGAAAGCTGAAATGAGTCAGTAATGTGATATGACATGCAAGAAAGCTAGTACAAAAAAAAAAAGAAAGAAAGCTAGTACGGTCTTGGGCTACATTAAGACAAGCATAATTTGCAGGACTAGTGAGGAGTATTATCGTCCCTCTGTGCTAGATCTGCCTTGGTCAGAACATATCTGGAGTACTAAGCTTCCTTCTGGGTGCCACACTTTAGGATGGAGTTGGATAAATTGAAGAGCAGCCAGAGGAGGACAATCAGGATGGTTCATGTAATATGAGAATGGGTTTGAAGGTCTATGGATATTTGACAGTATTTAAAGGACTACCATATGGAAGAGAGATTAGGCTTGTTCTGAGCTGGCTTTAAAGGGCAGAACTAGGAGCAGTTAGTTGGTGGACATTGCAAAGGTTTGATGTTAGGGCCAAAAAAACTTTCTAAATTTTTTTTCAATGGTTTTTCAGTTACGTTTGACTCTCTGTGACCCCATTTGGGGTTTTCTTGGAAAAGATGCTGGAGTGATTTGCCATTTCCTTCTCCAACTCATTTTACAGATGAGGAAACTGAAATAAACAGGGTTAAGTGACTTGCCCAGGGTCACACAGCTAATAAGTGTCTGAGGCTGCATTTGTACTCAGGAAGATGAATCTTCCTAACTTACAGGCTCAGCTCTCTATCCACTTTACCACCTAGCTGCCCTCCTAAAAATTAGAGTCCTCCAAAAATGGAATGTACTACTTTGGGAGGTAGTGTATTCCCTGATGCCTGTTTAAAGTAAAGATCAGATAACTCCTTGTTGAGCATATTGTAGAAAGGTTTCTTACTTAGGTCTAAGTTGTACTAGATGGCCTTTGAGATCTCTTCTGAGATTTTGTGATCCTTTTGTTCTAGTCTTAAAGTTCCCTTCTTACCAAGGGATCTTCACTCTCTCTCTCTCTCTCTCTCCCCCTCCCTCTCTCCAAGATCTTTTTTTATTCTCTTTGGCCTTTTTGCATTATTTGACACTGTTATCCATCCATATACCCTTGCTAGTCACTTCTACCATTATTTCTGAGACTATTCTCTTCTACTGCTCTTTCTACCTGTCTGATCTTTCTCAGTCTCCCCACTATGGTTCATCTTCCTTCTCTCACCTCCTAAGTATGGGCATTCCCTAAGGTTTTGTCCTTAGCTCTCTTATTAAATGAGGCAATATTTCTAAAGTACTTAGCACAGTGCCTGGCACACGGTAGACACTTAAATGCTTATTCTCTTCCTCTTCTTTCTTATTTAAAATCTAGAAAGACGCTCTCACTTGGCAATCTCCCTTATTTCCACAGCCTCAACGATCACCTCTCTGCAGATGATTACTCCCGATTTTTTATCTCCAGTCTATATCTCTCCCTTGAACACCAATGCCACATTTCCAACTGCCTGCTATCACCTCCTAAATGCTTCATGGACACCTCAAAATCAACGCAGCCAAAGCCGAACTGCTTAACTTCCTTCCAAAACCTGAGCTGCCTCCCTACTTCTGTTTCTCACAGTCTCTCATTTTTAAAATTTCAGTAATTTTTCATTCTTTCTCTTCCTCCCCCTGACCCATTGACAAGTCCTATAATTCTAACTCCCTAGTAGTTCTTGAATCAATCGCTTTCTCTCCAGGCACACTGATGCAGCCCTTGTTCAGACCCTCATCATGTCTCTCCTGGAATAATGTAACCGTTACCCTTGACTCACTCCTCTTATCTGCAGCCCATTCTTAATGGAGTAACTTGAAATCATCTTCCTAATGCAGAGTCCCCTGCTTAAAACCCTCCAGTGGCTGTCTGTTGCCTATACGATAAATGTTCCAAAACAAAAACAAACAAAAAAAATCCTTCACCAGACATTTAGAGTCCTCTGTAATCTGACTCCAACTGATATTTTCAAATTTTATCTTGTACCATTTTCCTTCAGGCATTCTACATTCTAGCCAAACTAAACTACTAGATGTTTTCTGATCTTGTCTTGTCTTCTTTCTCCCACCTACATCTTTGCATTCATGCAAGCATCCCATACTTGTAATACATTTTCTTTGAATCTCCATCTGATTAAATTGTTCTCTTCCTTCAAATTTCCTTAGGTGTCAGCTCTCCCACAGAACCTTCCATGATTCCCATAGTAGAAAGTGATCTTCCCACCTCATATTTCTTTAAGATTTTGTCTTGACCTCTGCCCTCATCCTTATTCCAATTTACCTCATCTCATACTTACTGGTACAGGTATTGTATCCCCTCACTATTATTTTAGACCTTAAGCAACTTGAGGGCAAAGACTGTCATTGCTAATGTTTGCATCATAGGTCCTAACACAATGCTCTACGTAGAGTATGCACTTAGTGTTCATTATATTAAACTGAAAAATTGAAAAGGAAAACCAGGACATTGTATTGAATGGGACAATAGGGATTTCTGTGACAGAAGGATCAGAGGAGAAGTAGCCTTGAGAGATTAAAGAGGAGACTAGGAAAGGGGTGTCGGTAGGGAGAAGCAGTGGTAACATTTTCGGGACAGGAGAAGAGGCTAGGATGGCAATGAGGAGGGACACTGGGAGGGTCAGAGTGGACACTAAGGAAAGTCTCTTACTCAGCACAGTGAGTTTTGCCTTTCGTGAGCGCAGGGCAGCTTCAGTGGCCTGGCACTCATAGGAAGCATCATCGGAAAGCTCGGCATCTGTAATCTCCAAGTTGTATTGCCCAGCTTCTGCAGAGCCCACAATCCGGTATCGTGGCCATGCTAGGGGGATGAAAAGAGGTCAGATGTGAGCTGATCTAGGTATCAATCAAATGTAGATACCTCCTTTCCACCCAATTCCCATTATCCCAGAGGGCCCCTAAAGCCATCTCTAGATTCCCTAGAGTCCCCCACTTTGCTTTTGCTATCACCCAATCTTCCCATTTCTATACCAAGACTTCATATTTAATTATGATACAATTCCTCCCCTGTCCTATCATATGATACAACCAAGAGGTAACCAGGACATAGGCAGAGGATTGTGACATCACAATCCCCTATAGCCAAAGAGGGCGATGTGAGAACCTGAAAACAGAAGAAAAGGAGGTGGGGGTAGGCAGAGAAGGAAGCAATGAACAGAAGCAGATGAAACCTCAGAGGCTGTTTGCAGACAAATGTCTCTCATAATAATAGGAAAGAAAAGAGTGAGCCGCAGAGCAAGGCGGTGGGAGGGAGAGACAGAGAGAATATCTGTGAAATATAGGACATCATAGCAGAGGCAGCAGCTCTCTGGGGATCCTTCTGTGGGACTTTCTCAGACTCAGACAGAGACTCAGCTCTCCCTCCCTCAAGACTGAGACCTTTCCCCCACATCCCTTGGCCTCTGAAGGGGACAGTGGATGAAGTTTCCCTGCTAGGCAAGGAGTTTCTGGGAATGTGAACATGGGGGGGATGGGTTGACTGAGTCTCAGCCCTCCCCACCTTGTGCCAACCTCTCCTCTCTGTCTCTCTTCATCATTTTGACTAGCTGCCTACCCCCCACCCCCTGCTCTCCATAGCCTTACTCCCTACACTCCTTCTTCCCTTTATCTCACTCTGTCCAGCCTTTTATTGATCCCTCTCACTCCATATCTATTGATCTCTCTCTGTTTCTCTCTGTCTCTCTATCTCAGCAATGAATCCAACCTCCATCTCTATTCTCTTGTTGTGCATCACTACACAGTCCTCTCCATTATCTTCTTCACTAGAGGAGGGCCATAACAAAAAATCCCCCAATACTCAATATCCCTCAAATCATTTTCGTTTGGCTTTGGAATATGATGTGTGTGTGTGTGTGTGTGTGTGTGTGTGTGTGTGTGTGTGTTTAAAGCTCACTTGTATTTGCTTAGCTCTGACTATACAGCAGGTACTCAATAAAGACTTGATGAATAAATGAATCTGCTTGGTTGATGATAAAATGAGTTTACCCATCCCTGAGCTCTCATACTGATTAGACAATGGTGGGAAGGTACCCAGAAGGGTGACCCCAGAATGAAAAATTTGTTGAAGATAAATCTAGTGCTTCCTGTACCACATAATAACATGTTGTACAGGAAAGACTATTGGACTGGGGAACTTGGGGGACCATCAAATTTGGATTTTTTTACTAGGTGTGTAACCTCCATCTTGTTGCTTCCTCTCTGAGCCCTCAGTTCCTCATCTGTACAAAGAAGGTTTAGATTTAGATATTCCCGAAAGTGCCTTTCACCTCGAACATCTGCTGAGAATCCTCTTTTCTGATTCCACATGTACCTTCCACCCTGTTTCTTTGGCTGTCTCTGCCAGTCTCCTTGTCTTTTTTTCTCCCTGGTTTACTCTGTCCTTCTGTGACTTCAGCACCTTTCTTTAAACACAGAAACATTTGGAGAAGAAACAAACTACCTGACAAAATGTCTGGGCAGAAGTATATTTCTAATTTATGTGTGTATATGTATATATGTGCACATGGATAGATAAGTACACACAAACACATAGAACACATAAGACATACACGGAGACAGAGTCAGAGAGGAGAGAAAAATGGGAACAGAGATGACAGTAAAAGAACTGCAGAAGAGCAAGCTAGAGTCAGGCACAGAACTCCAAAGCTGCCAATGTGAATAGAAAACAGGCTGCTTGGGCAAAAAATTATCTGGGGGGTAGAAGGATCATAGGATCACAGGATCAAAGGAAAACAGATCGAGAACTGGAAGGCACCTCAGAAAGATAAAGACCTTACCTTTGAGGCCCTGGCCCATGCCCAGAGCCAACCCATCCTTGGTCCATTGCACGATGCCAGAATAGTTCAGCAGCACACAGGAAAGCACTGCCCGCTGCCCAGCCACCACCGTCTGGTCAGATGGCTCCTGGCTAAATCGGGTCTGGGTTCCTGGCAGAGAGAAACAGTGGGCATCAGGTGAGCAACCATTCTGCCACCTTCCCTCAATTGTGTAATTGTGTGTATGGGGGATGGAGCAAGGGGTGGGAAAGGGGAATCAACCCCTCCCACTTTTCAAACTCTCTAACACCACCTTCCCCCACCCCCTCCATCCCCGCCCGGGCACTGTTAAATCATATGATACTGGAAGTTGACCAGGCTCCCTGCACAGCCCCATCTTTAGCTCTGCCCCACCCCTCCTTCCCTTCAGCCTTCTTTTTCTACTCCCTTTAGCCCCTCCCCTTTTCCAGGAGAAATGAAGTTCAAAGCCATAACGTGCTTAGAGATCTCCTGATAGCAGCTTGGGCTACAAGAGTCCAATCATCCATGTTAATTAATGATGCATAATTAATGTTGATCACTGGCTGTGGCAGTGAGGCAGAAAGATGGTGTGTAGGAGTGCAGGCATGTGACCTCCTCCCCTCATCCCCCCGATTCAGGCACTTGTGCTTATCACATAGTGCTATAGGGTGGTTGGGGGCTCTGGGAAGGGGCCGCAGGGCGGGCCTCTTTGGCACCTGTCAGCCTGTGCCTGCTGTCCACATGTTCACACACATGTGCCTAAGGGTCTACATCTATCCCTGGCTGGGCTTGACCCAGGAGGGCCTTGGCTCTACTTCCTACCCTAAACTCACACATTGCCCCAAAGCCTGCTGGCAGAATCTCTCCCTGGACGGAGATTCCCTCCAGGATCTCCTGTGCACACTTGCACCTGCAACATGCGTAGCCCTTTGGCAGCTCCCAGTCTAGGACGTGGCTTCTGTCCCGCTCCCCATCGAAGAGAGGCACACATCGCTGCCTGGCTGGCAGAGGGGCCGGGAGCATTTGATTAGAAAACTGCAGTGTAATTGCCTTTAATTGTGAAGCCTAAATGGAGCAGGGAATTGGATTGTGGGGTTTGTTCTACCCCTCTCTTCTCTCCCCCCTTCCTCCAGCCACCCTCTCCAACTCCCTCCAGCATGGATCCAGCCAGAAAAGCAAGGACCAGGGCTTGGGATGAGCTGAACGGCTAGCTGATGGGTTCAGAGAAGTGAAAGGTATCCTTGCTTCCTTAGTTGAGGAAAGTGAAGGGAGGGTGGGAGCTCCTGCTCTGCTCTCCGCACCCCAGTTTGCACTATTCACACCTATGTAGACTCTAACTTTTTTCCCACTCTAGTCTCACCTACCCAACAGCTAGCATTTATGCAGTCCTTTAAGGTTTCCAGTATGTTTACATGTGTTAAAGAGTTTTCTCATTTGATCATCAGAAAAACCTGGAGACTGGCTACTATTACATAAAGAAACTGAGGCTGGGAGTAAGTATCTGAGGCAGAATTCAAACTCAGGTCTTCCTGACTCAAAAGTCCATCATTATGCCACCTAGCTGCCTTTTCCAGTCTGTGGTGGGACTTCTCACATTCATACTCTGTGTCCTAGAGGGGAAACCTGGCCCCACTATCCAAACAGTGGAGCCCTACCTTCTCACCTCACCCTATCCATCTCTAGGAGTGCCGGTCTGTATCTAAGGAAAGAGGAAAGAGTGGTGTTATCCTGTGCCCATCGAACCCAGGAGGTTCCTCCAGGGCAAGGGTTGTTTCTTTCCTTTCTCCCTCTGTTTCATTTAGTGCCCTGGAGGGTCTGGTCATGGCAACAGTAGAGAAACACTTGGTGTGGAGGCAGGGGAGGACGAATGGACAGCATGTGATTTAAAACAATGATTTCTATTCTCTGTTTAGTAGATTTCTAAGTTCATCTTCAGTGGTGGGGTTGCAAGGCATCTCCATTCCTAATAAGCACAAATCCCTGTATTATTATTCGATGTTCTGTTTTCCTGACCCTTGTCCCCCACATTCCTGAAACCTGACCTTGCAGCCACATCTTCTAAGGAGTGGGGGAATAAGCCTTACCTGTATTCAAAAGGATTTTGTGCTTGGAGATCTCAATTGGAGGGGTGGTATCAGGTAAGAAGCCCGCATTATTAATTCCAGCTCTGTGCTCATTATTATTCAAATTTATTCATGTCCTTGCTCATTTCTTCAGGGAGCTACGTGCAGCAAACTCCCCATAACCACTTCTACCCCACTTTCCATTCTTAAGGGAGAAACTGAGACATAAGGGGAGGGGGGGAGGCACAAGAACTTGTCCTGAGGATGCCCTGGGAGTTCTGGAGACAGAATTAGTCTTAAAACTTTGGGCCCTGAAGTTTACTCAGCAGTCCTGGACCCCCTGTACTCATTGTCTGTAAGAGGCAGTGAGCAGTTTCCCCAATAGGGTAACAGTGAAGGAACAGGGTCTAGTGCACCATGGAGGAAGAATGGAGACAAGAAATAATAATGGTAACATTTATATGATACTTTAAGGTTTGCAAAGTACTTTACATATATCATCTCAGGAGAAATGGCTTCAGATTCCAGTTCTGCCATTAACTTGTCTGGGTGACCTTAATTTCTAAGGTCCCTGTCTAGCTTTAACATTCTCTGATTTATGGTTCTCTGAAGTTAGACAATAAGAAGAACTTTTCAACAAACGAGAGAGTTTTAGAAAGAAATTATACTCAAGAAATTAAACTGGGTTAATGAGGTTAGGAGAATGGGAGAAAAAGTAATCTTGAATCCGCTTGCTAGGGTCCTGCTTTCTTTTCTGACTCTCACTTCTCTCAACAAGATGATGCCCAAGAACAGGGCAGCAACCAGGAGTGAATTCTTGGGGCATGGAGGAGAAACCCAAATCTGTGTCTTTTCCCACTTTACGAAGTACCCCTGAGAGCAAAGTGTGAGGTGCTGTGGGGGTGGGGGTGTGTTCAGGATGCAAAGATAGAATGAGACACAGTCCCTACCCTTAAGGGGTCAAAGTCAGCAGGAAGAAACATAGTCTTATCCCACCGGAGCCCTCAGGCTGGTGGGGGAGATAATCCTCGGTCACAGATCTAAGGTAAATCCAAGTCACAGAAATAAGGACCAACCAGCAGAAGGAAGCTCCAAAGACTGAAGCTGGGGGGATTGGGGCTAGCTAGGTGGTGCAGTGCATAAAACTCCAGCCTTGGAGTCAGGAGGACCTGAGTTCAAATCTAGTCTCAGACATGTGACACTTAACTAGCTGTATGACCTGGCAAGTCACCTAACCTTATTGCCTAGGCTCCCCCACCAAAAAAAAAAAAATCATGCATGCAGTGGAAAGAACACTGGATTGAAAAAAGAACCCGAGTTCAAGTCCCTGCAATGCTATTTTAGGGGGCAGCTAGGTGTTGCAGTGGATAAAGCACTGGCCCTGGAGTCAGGAGGACCTGAGTTCAAATGTGGCCTCATACACTTGACACTTACTAGCTGTGTGACTCTGGGCAAGTCACTTAATTCCAATTGCCTCAAAAAAAAAAAAAAGGATTGGAGGTGCCTAACTGGGGAAAGAAAGAATGAAGCCAGACCAAGAAGATTTTCCTCAGTGACTAGAGCAAGGTTGGCAAAAAAAGAAAGGGATAGGACTCAAAGAGAGTTAAGGAGGCCAGGGTGAGATACAGGGGGCATGCGTGTATGGATAGTGCACAAAGCTTGAGTTTGGAGGTGGGGATGTGGAGAGCATACATGTAGTTTTGCATGTATTTGTTGCATATTGTCTCTCCCATTAGACTGTAAGCTCTCTCAGGGTAGGTACTGTGTTTTATCTCTTTTTGTATCCCTAGCACTTGACATAGTGCCTGGCAAATTTTATTATTGTTCAGTTGTTTTTCAGTTGCGTCTGACCCTTCATGACCCCATTTGGGGTTTTCTTGGCAAAGATATGGGAGTGGTTTGCCATTTCCTTCTCTAGCTCATTTTACAGATGAGGAAACTGAGGCAAACAGTGACTTGACTAGGATCATACAGCTAGGAAGTGTCTAAGGCCAGATTTGAATGTAGGAAGATAAGTCTTTTTCACTCCAGGCCTGGTATTCTATCCACTGTACCACCTAGCTGCCTGGTATATGGTAGACACTTAATATTTATTGACTGAGTGACTAAGTAAAGTCAGGCTCAGAACCCCGCAGTCCCTAAGCTCCCAGCCCTTGGTCCTAGTGACTTGGACTGGATCTCTGCTGACTGGGTCTTCTGCCAAGCCACAGCTGCAGAGAGGAACCTGCCATTGGAGCAAACAGCACCATTTCAGTCCTCTAGTCTATCATTTATCTATCTTTTCCTTCCTGAGTGGCTTCCAGGAAATGAGATGGAAGTCAAACACCAATACTGGCAAATGACTTGCCAGGGAGAGCTGGGCCTCCCTCAGCAGGGAGCTGTGGGGAAACTGGCAGGGGAGAGCCAGGCCCTGAGTACAAGCATATCGGGAATCAGAAGAGCAGACCAATCCTGCTTAGCAGGGCCAGCAGCCTCAGTCTAGGGCCAATTTTTGTCAGTGGTTTTCTCTGAATTTCCACCTGCTTTGATCTCTCTCTTCCCCCCTGTCTTCAGACACCATCACAGATGTGGTGAACTCTTAAACAGCCATTGTGAAGACAGGCAGAGTGAACACACACACAACACACACACACACACACACACACACACACACACATGAGAGGGGGTTGAGGGGAAAGAGGCTGATAGAGACACAGAGAGGAGGAAACGATGCTGAGCAATAGAGACAAAGCCAGAGACACCCACACAGAAGCAAAGGGAAAGAACGGAATAGAGAAGCAGGAACAGAGAGGGAGGGAGAAAGGAAGGGATGGGGGCGGGGGGAACCACAGACACAGAGACACCATGACCCAGGAGGAATGCAGACCCACGGAGAGAAAGAAACACAGAAAGGGATGATTGAGACCAAGATGGGGACAGGGTAGAGCTACGTGTAACTGTTGGCATGGAGGTGAGGGAATATGTTTCTGTTTACATGTAAGCTCACTGTAGATGAAGATATGTGATAAACAGATTTTCCCCAACCCTGATGTCTACAGCTCAATTCCCAAAGACTTTCTGCCTTTGCATTTCTGCCCACGTCCTGGA